TCTGTAATTCGGCCTCATAAAAACACCCCTTAATTCGTTGACCTTATACTGATTCTAGGATGATGAAAGTTGGGTATTAAAGAAAATTAAGAATTAAAGAAAATATGTCTATAACGCTATAAAAAAACTAAAAACGCAAAGAAAAAAAAATGAATGCAAATGAATGATCATCCATGCGAAATGGCGGACCTGTCAAAGTCACGTGTTCTATAATGGTCCATATTTATAGTAGCTTGAGTTGGTAGGAATATTTATAGAGAGTTAATATAAATAAGAATAATTAAAAATGTACTTTAATGCAGATTTACCCGGATAGGTACAAAATTTGTCACTTCAATAACATTAAAATCTAACTATTGCTAATAGTATAAAAATTACAAGAAGTTCGAAAACTGATAAAAATGTTGATAAATGTCGTATTTTATAGCATTTTGCTGCTGTTCTAGAAAAAAACTCTCAGTTCACTTTGCTTCACTGGTATTCACTATTCTTAGTATTCGTATGTTGGTTTTTGGGCGAACCATCAAAAGAGCAATCACGTACAGAATGGATGACTAACAACTCCAACTAACCAATAAATCGGATCAACTATTGAGTATGATCAATTATTGAGTATGATCAACTATTGAGTATGATCAACTATTGAGTATGGGGTTTTAGATTGTTCGAAGTTAGGTCAGTTAGTAAAAATATAGAAGAACTGAATATATAAGAGACAAAGTTTACGTTATGGGTATTGAATAGCTTTTTTTAATAGCGATATTCTGTGAATATTATTCCACAGATAATTGCTTATGTTCTCTGTAGCAGTATATGTTTGAAATAGGCACTAAATTTGTTATGAAATCAGTGTATATCAGGTTAATTTTGGGCCACCTTTATGCGACATAAAAATATCTATATCTATACATTTTTGTTGTATCAATACATCGACATCGAACTGACTCGTTTATTTAACTTTATTGAAACATTAACCCTTTTTTCAACCAAACGCCCTTTTTATTACGTGCATTTTATTTACTTTTGTGTCCTATTTTTCGTAACCCGATATATCGGTAGAGTTAAAAAAGTCATAAAAATATAGTTGTTTCTATATAATTTGAAAACATCAGTTTTCAAATAGATTCGTTGGAGCTGACTAAAACATTAGTAATCATTTCACAATAGCTGTTAGTACAAAACATATTGTTAAGTTTATTGTATTTTTATTGAAATATCTATATAATTATATTTCTATAATTTTCTATAAAGATGATGTTTGAATATTTATTAACATTATCTTATTAAAAAATATTACAAAATATATTAGTTCGCCAAGTAAGGCATTCAAACATATTATATTCGACACTTTCTTTGCCATATTTAATAGATAGAATTCTGCATGCTAATGAGTGTTTACTAAATAAAGATATACCTACTAAAACGGTTTTGTTAACCCCATCGATAATACATATTTAACACTTAACAGTACATGAAAACAAATAGAACGTGAGAAATTTAAATGACACACAAATAATACCGTATGATCGAAGAAAAAACGGCGTCAGCGATGGCTATGAAATAAAGATCGCTGTCATTTTATATGTAAATTTATATTGGAAATGTCATCGATCGTCATTTCCCAGCCAACTGGACGCCGTTTTTTTTTCAATCATACGGTATATATGTAATAAACGTTTATACTAAAAGAAAAAAATATAAATGAATATGTTTATATTAATACAAACGGCGGTTCCTCAATAAGTACCCATGTGCCGACTATTTCTTCGAAATATTTTTGTTATACATCTACCTAGAATTACTGAATTATATTTTTCAAAAAGACACATTCTATACAAGGTATCCCAATATTTTTGAAACCAAAATAAGTTCATTGGACAAAATTTACCTCTATACAAAAGTGCTTCGTTTGTCCGCTAGACGGCATCAAACTTTAAAAAAAAACACCTTTTTTAAGATATTTCGAGAACTGTTATTTACACAGCCGTGGCACTCTAGATTGAAATTTAAAATACGATTTTTTAAGCGAAAATGTCAAAAGTTTACATATTATGATATGTCATTCTGCTCAAAGTGTCATTTGCTATCGAATAAAGTAAAAATATACCGAGGGTGCCATTTAAAAATCAAAAGTTGTAGTAATTTCCGGTGAAACAGGAAGTGACAGAAAACAATTGAATACGGTCAATCAATCCTAATTTATGTTATATACTAACATACCTACCAAATCTCGTTTTTTATCTAAAAAGATATAGGGATGAGTCACTTTTGAGACGCACCCGGTATACAGATATATTTTTATTAAGTTTCGTAAAAAATGCAATGTTAAAATAATTACATTTTCAAAACATATAAATAAAAAAACAAATTTTCAACGGTAATACCATAATAAACGCACAGGTTTAATTATTGTTTTACAAATTATTTTACAAAACCTTCGTTATTTTTTTTCCAACTCTTATTTAAATAAATGAACGCGTCACTGCCAGTGACGTAATTTTATACAGAAAAAAAAGAGAAACAAAACTAAAAACATATAATTAGTACTCACGCCCTTCCAATTGGACGCCATTTTGACGTTGGAAAAACGCCCGCTCCATATAGGTTACGTTTCGAAAACAAAATAGATGTCGATCTTATCGCGGTTGGCCATTGGCTTAAATATTCTTTCCCATGTTTGAATGTATATAAAAAAATATTAATGGAAATACTACTAAATAGTTTTACGTAATTTTGGTTTAATGGCGTTAAAATATATTTAATAACCCTACGTAAATAGCTTATTTATTATGCCGGTACATTTATTAAATGGTTGTATTTTGTATTTAGAATATGAAAAATTAATGTTTTGGTTTTTAGATAAAAAAAATTGATAAGCAGCACAGCTTATTCACTACCAGCTAGTCAATTTTAGCTAATCGACACAATGTTTTTTTTAAAGGCTTATGAAGCTCAAACCCCCGACTTATTATACAGGGTGGTCCGAACTGTATTCCGGAAACTTCGGTAGCATATTCTGCAGATAAAAATAAGTAAAAAAGTTCGTATAAAGGTATGTCCTAAAATGCTTAGTTTTGGAGATACAGGGTGTAGAATTTTTATTTCGATTTTTTCTAAATAATTTCTGAAGTAACCCCAATAATTGGATGGAAATTGGTTTCTGAGAGTTTTTTAAGATGCGAAATTTGATTTTGATCTCAATATGACTCCTATTTGTAGGGGGCGCCACCTACATGTGTTTTAACTGTTTTCAAGAGTAATAACTTTTTGTCCGTACCTGTATAAAACTCCTGCGTGAAAAAACATATATTTCCGTGACTTTTTACGCAAAAAATGTATCTTGGTAAAAATCGCTACAAGCAACCGTTTTCATTTATGATTTCAGTCTAATAACTATTTAGTCAACATGTTTAATTTATTTTAATGATAATAATTTCGATTCCAAATATCTTAATAGTGTGAATATCTCGAGAACCATTACTCGTAGCGATTTTTACCAAGAGACCTTTTTTACGTAAAAACGTCGTAAATATATATTTTTTACTAAGTAGTTTTATACAGGTTCGGACGAAAATTTATTACTCCTCAAACCAGTTAAAAAATATGTAGGTGACACCCTCTACAAGTAGGAGCCATATTAACATTAAAATCAAATTTCTCATGTCAAAAAACTCCTAGACACCAATTTTCATCTAAATATTGACGTTACTTCATAAATTATTTGGAAAAAATCGAAATGAAAATGAAACTTCTACACTTTGTATCTCCGAAACTAAACATTTTAAGACATACATTTATACTGTTGCGGACCCGTGTGAACTCGGCCTTAGGCCTGGCCACTCTGCTATGACTCATACGCTCGACGACGTTCTAAGAACGCGGCTAAGAATTCTCGAGACAAATCTGGATTGTCTGTTTCTCTCCTATATAAGCCGGCGCGGCGCCTGAAGCCTGAAGAGGACAGAAAAAAACAACCGGTCGACGCGTACAGTTACAATCGCCGCGCTAAATTCAAAATAAATTCCTTTCAGATAAATAGTTAGATAAATTGTAAATAAGTTATAAATAGTTCTTTAAGTCTTTTATCGTTATTGTTTTTGTTAATTAGTGTTAAATAAATTGTGTTTAAATAAATTGTGACTATTTATCCACACGGAACCGACGAAAAACGTAACAATACGAACTTTATTACTTATTTTTATCTGCAGAATATGCTGCCGAAGTTTCCGGAATACAGTACCGATCACCCGGTACAATAAAAGATAAACTAGTATCTAGGAAGATAGCAGACTTCCATGTCCATAAGTCGTAGACTGCATATGAATATGCGTGCAACTACTAATGACCATAATGAATCTGAATAATGAAGTAAGTAGAATAATTAAGTTTAGATTACATTTTCAATTCTGTGTACAAAAGATACAAATGTAACCTGAAAATATTCAGATATAGTGCAGAATGACACCCTAAGATGGGAAGTCAATTTCAACTGTGAATGCAACTGGAATTTATGTTTCCGCACTTAAGTCTATAATCTAACCAGGAAAAAAATCAAATGCAAATATCGAAAAAATAGCAGAAAGAAAATATCTACTCCCAAAGTTAATATAACTACTGTCACTTCCAAATAATTATTCCTTAGAAATAGTAATATACTACAATTATGGATCTATTTGAACCATTAAATGGCGAAAAGCAACGAGATTTGTGATAGATCAAGAAATCACCAGCACAAAATAGTTTAGCCCTTTATATAAAGTATGTAGCAGATCTAAAAGTATGTATCAACTAATAAATATAGTACTTTTTTAATGTTACTGGTGATTTTGTCATAATGAAAAAAATCCAGTTATGAAAAATTGAAGAAAGGTACTAGTGTAAAATTAGAAGCAAATGGGTAACTCAAATAAGCAACTCAAGTATAACAAAAAATCCAGAAAATTTGTTCAGTATCATGAGAGAAATAGTATTATTGTTAAATTTAATGTAGAAAAACTTACCAAAAGCTTGGCACTGTACTATTTTTGTTGTTCCTAATCTGATAATACTGCTGCTGGTGAATGTTGTGAATCTTGGAGCTTGAAGTAAATTTTCTGAAACAAATTAAAAATAATTAGTTATAAGTGCAATTAATGGAGCAGTTCAAGTATTTCGAACTAGCAACTCTTGAAAATGTCAAATAGGTAAAAAGTTAAAAATTCACATATAAAATCAACATTGATAAATAAATTCTTTGTTATCTCGGCCCATGAATACGTGTTGCAGTTAATTTAAATTTTACATATATTCAAAAAAGCAATAAAATAATTATCAAAATACAGCAGACAAGACTGTGTTTGCTAGACAAAAGAATACCTATGCTATTCGGGTATCTACTATATAATTATTCCAACATCATTGATTGCTTGCTTTACATTTATACACATTTTTTAATATGCAAAATATATGATCAGAAACTCTTATTTATGTACTGTCAGTTTTAAAGCTCACATGGTCATAAATTTTTAATCATTGAAAATATCCAATGTGACAATAAATGTAATATTAAAATAAACAAATGGATAAATATATTATCATTACCTACTTCTAATGATTACATTTAGACCACTGACTCGTCAACTTCGGTCAGTGCTCGAGAATCGTAAAACGAGGCCAAATTGGCGCTGTTAAAATAATAGCACTGAGATGGTAAAGTAGGCGACAAGCAGTGCATTTACTGGCAACGAGCGCGCTTCGATGGTGCCGGAAGAGGAAATAACTTTTTAACGGCACCGTCACGTCATATTCGTCGATGGATTTTAAGAGAAAAGAGTTTCTTCTTCCCTTAAAAATAGAGTTAAACTTCATTCAGTTACGCCTGTTGGCGTCGTAGCCCGAACAAAATAGAGTAGTGCTTACGATAATGCTGAGTTGACATAATATACATTACTGTTTAATAATTAAATGAATGATTTCGGGCATTTGAACGATTATCTTCGATAGTAATGAATGAAAAGTTTTAAATGAAGAATATGAAGAAGTATGTTACATTTTACATACTTATACATACTCAGATTAGATTAAATTTGTAATCTACGACAATGACACATTTAACATAGTCATTTGGATGTCATTATGGCTTTCATAATAGCACTAGTGCTATTATGAATTCATAATAACACACAAATTTTAAAATAAAAAACAAGCAAAAAAAGGTACCTAAATACGTTTATTTATTGTAAACATTAATTATAATATCAGTACAATTGGTTAAATTAATTCCAAACGATGACAAATGAGTTGAATTTTTAGAAAGTAAATTTATTTCCTGAGTGCTTGAACTTGTTGAAGACATCATTGCCAGAAATGTTACCCAAAATATTACATGACACTTTTTTCTTATTTTCTTTGGAATTTTCTATATAGCTCTCTGCTACTGTGTTAGAGCGCCAACCACCATGTCTTTTAACAGTTAATAAATTCACTCCTGAATCTGCAAGCAACGACGCAGACGATCTACGGAAACAATGTCCAGTGTATTGTTGTGGATTTGGAAGACTTGGAACAATGCTATTTTATACGGCATTTTTCCTAAAGTATTAATGCCAACGGGTTGCTTAATACATTTTCCATTTCTGTACCCCACAAAAAGTCGAGTATGCTCTGTGTTGCTTGGCCGCATTGCTATATATCTTTGAACCATTTTCACCATATTTATTCCTTCAACATTCCCTTTCGTTATAAAAAAAATCTCGTGATATCTTTGTTTTCGTAAATGGAATAATGACATGAATGCATTGTCCTTCATCTTTAACATTTTGCAGCTGCAGATTTGTCAACTCGATACGCCGGCAGGCTCCCGCAAGTCCCACTATCAATGAAACTTTTGTCAGGAAATAAGTTTTATCATCGGCTTCCAACAAAAAACGAGTTATGTCTTCTTTTCTTGAAATTCTCGATTTTTTTGACCGAAATCCTTCCGGTTTTCTTTTTAGAAATGCAATTAAATGGACGTATTTACTAATATCTGTATTTTTCTTCACTGATATAACTGAACGTAGCATGGAATAATATACCCAAAGTGATGAAGCCTTTCTATGTTTTGAAAGATGTTCAAAATATGCCAGGAGAACCTTTTCGTCACTACTATTCTTGATTCCTTTCCCTTTACACCAACCTTCAAGTTTTACATAGGCTTGCTCCTTGCTCGTACGTTTGTCTTGATTTTTCGGGAAGTAGGGAATCGACAACATTTTGCGCAATGCCTTCAATATCCGAAGGGACACTTTCAGAATCAGAATCACCCATATGAATATTATTTTTTGCTTTTTGCTAAAACTGACCGTTTAACACAAAATTGAACATCAATAATTGAGTTGTCAAAGTCAAAATGGAAACAATCAACAAGCACGGCGTCGACTAATATGGGCACCTGATAATTTTTATTTTATTCGGCTAACGCCTCGTGGCTTAACGTTACACGCGTTTCATTATTATGTTCGTATCGAACTTGTATCATTAATAACTATAAGATGGCTATCGGCCTGTTCCACTGCGACCTTTTCAGATCTATTGAGGTCTTCTGATTTCTAGATTACTTTCTACAGTCCTATCCTTTACAAAAAGGGTAATATCTAACATCACTTCGTAATACAAAGAACAGCACATTTTCCAGACTGCCGCACTGACATTTGAAACATTTTTCTGTCTTCCTTTTTCAGACTGACAAAATCTGTACATGACTTCGTCCATCAATTCCACCAGCTTTAGATGCCCATTAAGCTTACAATGCAATGGTCTGTTAGTAGACTCATTATAGTTTTGACAGTGTTCCTGTCTCTGCTTATCAGGTGTGCCATAGATTTTGGCGAAGGTTCCACTATCAACTTTTTCGCCTGTCTCTGTCTGGTAAATTTCTTAGACATTGCAGAGATATGTTGGCCATCCACTGTTTTGTCGCCATTCTTGAAACTACTTTTTTACCGCTACAGGAGAGCTCTGGCCCTATTCAGTATAGTATATGTACACATATTTGTATACATACATTGGCCATCTTGCTCATCACTGAGGAAGAATATGCAATAACCCTTAATCTGGAGGAATTGCCGGAATCTGGAGGCCGGAAGGAATTGACGCAACAGTGACTTCATTCCGTGACATTTCAATTAATATTGTTTAATATTGTGCAGTAACCTCGATTTGATTTGTTGGATTGGCTGTTGATACGTATAAGTCTAAAAGACGTGTATGACATAGATTAGGATTGATTGACGTATTCAATTGTTTTCTGTCACTTCCTGTTTCACCGGAAATTACGACAATTTTTGATTTTTAAATGGCACCCTCGGTATTTTTTTACTATATTCGATAGAAGATGACACTCTGGATAGAATGACATATAACATGTCAACTTTTGACATTCTCGCTTAAAAAAAGTTGTATTTTAAATTTGAATCTAGAGTGCCATGGCTATGTTAAAAACACTAATTTTTAATCAAGGAGCTTAATCTTGGAAAAATAGATTTGATTATCTAAAATTTTTAGTGTCTTGTCCTGGCCGGTTAAAAGATGCCGAAATCGTATTTTTAGTAACATCTCAATTTTTTCAAATGGAACAAGAGTGGCTCATTAGCATATTTGGAAAAAGCATTTTTCTACGAATAATTTGATACCACACACTTGGTATTTCGAGTCAAATTGTCGTTATAAACCGCATGTTACAATAATTTAAAATACACCATAACGAGGGTATCATTTAAAAATCAAAAGTTGTAGCCATTTCCGGTGAAACAGGAAATGACCGAAAACAACTGAATACGTCAATCAATCGTAATTTATGTCATATACTAACATTCCAAATCTCGTTTTTTTATTTGAAAAAATAAAAAAGTTATAGGGGTGAGTCACTTTTAAGACGCACCCGGTATACATACATCTCTGTAAATACTATCTTTATAAGTATAATCTACTTTTTTTCTGCTGTTTTCGGAAAAAGGCTATATATTTAACTAATGGAGGAAAATAAAGTTAAGGCCAAAATAAATTGTGACAGTTCGTTAAATTTAAAAGCGCAATAGTACTAAGTGGAATTAAATTTAAATCTGTAAATTTTGAACGCTAAATCCGAACCGTATAATGCGAACATTTATGTTTTAAAGTTTTTTGTAGGGCTTAATACTGGCATTGTTGGCCTGGCGGTAAAATAACGTTTGAAAAAATATTTAGTTTCAGTTATCTAAAACTAAATTCACTGGCTATATGACAGTATTTTTTCCTCTTAAACTTAAGATGCTCTATTTCAATATCTTCTAAAATAGCATTTATTAATGGAAGTCCACCAAATATTTGCACTTATCTAACAGCGCTTTCAGATGGAGCGGAGCGTCCGTCGTGTTTTTTTCAAGATAGCCGTCGAACGAAATCATCCGGACGGAGCATACGCGACCCATGTGAAATTGTTCATATAAACTCATAGTACTTGCTCGAAGTCGCAGACAGACGCAGACGCAGACGCATACGGTCCGTTCCATCCGAAAGCGCTGTAAGACTGACCCTGTATATGTTTAATAACACAAGTATAGGGTAAGTCCGGTATAGTTGGACCACTTTTTTTGCTCCTACTTTTACACTTCTATATTAAATTTTAGAATAGGTTACACTCAGAATAATAATGGGATTTAAGTGATTTAAAGAACGACCTATCTAAGGGCTGTAGAAAATGTGTCGTATGGCTAGGCAGACACAGTAAAATAATTTCATTTGCTTCACAAAATTCTAATACTTCTACAGAGTTGGTGTGCGATGTGTGCCCATCTAAGATAATTAAGGCGGTACCAGCAGACTTTCTTGGCAGGAAATGCTCCTCTAACCATTTCTTAAAAATAACAGCATTGATGTAAGCTGATTTCTCGTTCATATCGCAGACCCTGGAGGCATTCCATCCTTATGACATTCCTTAAGGTTTTTTCTTTTTAAAATACATAGGGGGGTAGAAAAACACCTTCTGCACTGCAACATGCTACAATAGAAATGGTTTCCCCCTTTTCGCCAGAAGTTGTGTTGGATACAGTTTTAGACCCAGGTTTATTATTTAACTGTAGGCCACTTTCATCAA